TGCAAGTTGACACCAATCATCGTCTTGAATGAAATCAAGCTTCTGATTGCTGGAAAAGCAGCTGGACCAGATGGAATACCCCCTGAAGCACTAAAAGTGAGCCCAGAGACTACAGCAGATATGCTGACTCCATTATTGCAAAAGGTCTGGAAGTAGGGAAAGGTGTCTACTGACTGGAGGAAAGGTTACGTCGTGAAACTACCAAAGAAGAGAGACTTATGACTCTGCAAGAACTGGCGAGGAATCATGCTCCTGTCGACGCCAAGTAAAATCCTGAGTCGCATCATCCTGGAGAGAATCAGGGAAGCACTGAATACACAACTCCGACCAGAACAAGCTGGATTCAGGAAAGGTGAATCGTGTTCTGACCGAATTGCTACTCTACGTATCATCATCGAACAAAGCATGGAATGGCAACCAAACTTCTACCTCAACTTTATAGACATTGAGAAGGCCTTCGACAGCGTTGATCGTGAAGTAATTTGGAAATTACTCGAGTACTACGGCGTACTCCAAATATTCACCAGCCTTATTCAACAGCTGTACGACAACGCCACATGTCAAGTGATCCACAACGGAAAACTCAGTGTTGAAATTTTTTTGTAATAATAGTATTAGTATTTCGAGATGACCGAATTACAAGAATTCAACCAAAACACAGAGAGGGATGAATTCAGGAATTTGTATTTGGCAGAATTATAATTCAATTCATATAAGAAATATATTAACAAGCAAAAGTAAGTGTTTAAACAATACGGAGATACGAATTGTCAATCACCACATCCGCCACACGTCGAATGTCTCCTTGCGTATTTATAATGATGTCGCGGTTTGTTCGCCAGTCCCTGAGATCTTCTAACTGATTCTGTGATATTATTTTCATCAGTATCATCTGAACTTATTTCTGAATTATCTACAAAATCAGGATTAGTAGCGGAATCATTAAAATTATAATCGGAACGACCTACTTCATTTATTCTCACTTGATCCAGGTGTCTGTTATGAACTGAATGATCTTCGATGTCTAACATCTTCACCATTCGATTTCCCATTTTTTGTAGTATGATTCCAACAAGGTCTATAGTCATTCCCTTTGTAATATTGTACATCAGAAGTCGTGAACATCAGATGGTTTCTGAGAATTGGAGATCTGAATAACTTAGCAGGACTTTCATGAGTACTTGTATGCTCCGCATTGCGATACTGAAGTAAGAAGTTATCCACGCATCTCTCTAGCTCATCAAAATTCTCAGGACTCATTGATGCTAAAGCACTCTTTAATGTTCGTACAAAATTTTCTGCCAACCCGTTTGACTGAGGATGACGTGGTGCTGTGTACAAATGACGACATATTATTAGGTGACGGTGCTTGAATTAGAGGTGCCAAACGACTAGCATCAAGTCTGAAACCTTCGGAGTCTACTGTGTATCCCAAGCATGATACAGACGACAAGATGAAATGACATTTAGATGGATTAATAAGAACATTATTCTCACATAAACGCCTGAACAGTTTTAAAAGACGTTCATTATGCAATTCGATATTACGACCATGAACTATAATGTCGTCTTGGTATGCCTCAACACCATCTAATCCATCTATCATCTGATTTATTACATTTTGAAATATTGTAGGTGAAACCTTTGAACCAAAAGGCAAGAACTTATACTTGAACAATCCAAATGGAGTATTAATGGTCGTTAATGCACTAGACGCCTCGTCAAGAGGAATTTGCAAATAGGCATCTTTTAGATCTATTTTGGAAAAGTATCTTGAGCCATGTAGCTTGTAGAGAATGTCTTCAGTTTCTAGAGTAGTGCAACTTTGCTGTAGTAGACGACTACTGAGTGTAAGGCGGTAGTCACCACAAGTTCTAGGTGTTTTTCCATCAGCCTTTAGTGGCGTAACAATAGGAGTAGCCCAATTTGAAGACTCAACTGGCATAAGTATGCCTTGCTCAACCGACTTGTCTAACTCTTTCTTAACTGCACTCAGCGAGGCGTTCGGAGGAAACACAGGAGTCAGACAAGAGTGCTTGCTTATTATCATCAATGATATTACTAAAAGTGGTCGACTGGATTATGCGTCAGACAGTGGGAAACGATAAACGGTGCAGGGATATCCTGGACCGACGTGAAGAACCTAGAAGACCTGGATTTCGCGCGTGGATGATTTATGTTTGATGTCACACAAAATCAAAGACTTGCAAGCGAAAACCGACAAACTGATCGAAGAAGCAGATATTGGAGACAGGACTCCAAGTGAGCATAGACAAGACGGAGGTTATGAATATAACCAACCAACCAACAACAACAGCAGCAACATCCAGCGCCAATCACCATCAACGGGAGGGATTTGAAAGAGGTTACTTCATTCAATCACTTATCTAGGGAGCATTGTCTCAACTACAGGTAGTCGGAACGGACGAGGATGTCAAATCGAGCGAGAATCGGGAAGGCGAGAGAGAAACATTCATCAACCTGAAACTAATCTGGAAATCTTCGTTACTCAGCATCAACAACAAAATCCAGTCGGATCTTCAATACAAACAACGTCAACTCAGTCAGTTCTTCTATACGGATCAGAAACTTGGCGGGCGGATTACAAAGAATATTTTCAACAGCCTGTTGCAGACCTTTATCAACCAACAACTGTCTTGGCTGGTTCTATACAAAGATCAAATGGCCGGGCCGAGAAGAATCACCAACAAGAAACTATGGGAACAAACAAACAAAACAAGAACCAATCACCAGCCAACAAATATGCAGGAGAAAGTGGAGATGGATCGGACACTCGCTGAGGAGGAGGCCACTGGGTGACATCGCGCGCGCATCGGGCCATTGTTCGAGTGGAAACCGAAAAAGAAGCGAAGAGTGGGACGTCCAAGGGTGATATGGAGGAGATGGTGTGAAAAGGAGTTGAAACAGTATGGACTAACATGGACGCAGGTGAAAAGTACAGCAGAAGACAGAAGCAAGTGGAGAGGTGGAGTTGAAGCAGTATGTTCCACTAGGAACCCAAGGGAACAATAATAACAAATAATAAGAAGAATTCGTGGACTGGCTATTGAATCCGGTCCCAGCGGTTGAATGGTATACCAGCTCACCTTAGGTTGTATATATATATATATATATACAGTGGTGCTACGTATATTTCTTCTTCGATGCGAATCCTGTCTGGAGGAGTCAAAGGACACTCTTCTTCTTAGTTGCAGAAAGATGGTAGGAATGGCTCTATTATGAGCACAATAGTTAAAAGCCTCGTCGACACTGGCCATTTTGTTTCATCAAACTCCTCCTTTAAATTGAGAAGCGACCCGTCAAAGATAATACGCTCTCGTCTGCTCTACTGTACTGAAGCTCTAGCCATTCAGAGAGAGAGAGAGAGAAACCGAAGTTATGGATACAAAATAAAATTATTGAACTACTTATATGTTATTGAATATAAGTTCCTCTCTTAAGTCCAATATACAGCTGACTAAACAATCCAGATAATTTTGCCTCACGAGTTGTTCATATCACATTAACAAGCGAATAACAATCATGTGTCGTAACAAAACGTTAATCGGAACGATGAGAACTTGGAAGGTTGTTTGAGAGGTATGACTTACATATTATGTATTGCTACTATACTCCATATCACATAATTTGTTATTTCGGGTTATATAAATCCCAGAATAGTTTCTTCTCACTTCGCTGTATGGCTTATCAGTTTGTAGTAATAGCGATGATATTAACGTTGCTCGACTATTTAGCACGTCATTTCAATGTATTCAAGCATGAGCCAAATAGTGTGAAGATTCATGAAACTATCCAAATGCTTAGGTCAAAGTAGATATAGTAGAATTTGAACTCAGAACTCGTTAGTTGAAATTCACGTGCTTGTGTTAATAAGCTAGACTTCCACAACGAAGCAAATATTGTAGCAATACGATTGTTTTGTGTGTTGTTTGAAAGTTACGATTTAATTAGCGAATAAGTCCAGTTTTTCATACACAATTATTCAAATTGCTTGAGACGCGAATAACATTAGAAGCAGATATAAAGAGTAGGTAATTTAACAATTCTCATTTTCTCTTTATTTAGGAGAATCTTCAGTAGGCAACTGTACACAGTCCATAAGCGCAGCCAGTATTCCCAATATTAAGTGTTGAACTAGGAATCCTCCATATTTGAAGAATCTAAGTGATAACCGTTTATACCTTATTATTCACAAATTTACAATAAAATTTCCATTTAAGCTTTAGTACTTCATAGCATTTTATGCTGCTTCACCTTTCACCCATCTAAAACTCATCGGCTATACAAGAGAAACCTAATAAATCCCTGTGATACTTAAGAAAAAAGCGACTGGACGACTGGAAACGAATGAGCCTTGGAGAACTGTTCCTTCCATCTTGGGACTCTTCATCAGTACACTCCCTATGGCTGCACCAAAGACCCCAAAGTGACGAGGTGAGCTGAGATCTGATGACGCATGAATTCCAGCTTCCGCGATATATAGAGCCACCTCCAACCAATGTCAGAAGTTAGTATCTGGTCTCACATCCGGGGTGACTACTGAGCAATGGATTAATATTTGGGAGGATTTAATTGACTTCAAGTTAAATCACAAGCTGACATCAGTTAAGGAACCACTGGAAAGTAAGGTATACTGTACAGCTATCCCCTCCTAGTTTGGGAGTCTTCAGCAGCTGTCGAACTTGAAACCAATCAAACCTTATCAATCAACACTTAAAAGTCGCTATCGGCCTAAAGCAAAAGAGCATCCAGACGACAGATAAGTCACAACAATCATTCCTTGTGAAAGATTAGTTGTCACTAAGACCACATCTGAAATATCCAAAGTATACAGTACAATCTCACCAAATGAAATAAAACTAATATCTAACATCAAACCGTACGGCCGAATTCAAGGTACCGGGCAGAATTCCAAACACATGAACCATAAAATAAGTTTTCTACACCTATAACTCAGCGCTATACAAAAAGTCGGATGCTTTAGGAAACAAAAACATTTTTTATTCTTCGAAATCTAAATTCTTCCATTTAGAAAAAATAGTATTCATCAGGAGGTGCAAAAGGTATGTTTTAAAAATGCACTACCAATGAAAAGCAGAGCTTCATCATTAGTTAATACACACATCATATCATTTAATTCACAAAGCATACGTATTTTATAAAGGAAATTACCAGTTAACCTGACATATAATCGTGTAGAAAGAAAATAAAAATTCAAAAAATACACTAAATCGATAATACTTTGTAAACACAAACAATAAAAAAGGGCTATCTAAGATTTGTCATTCTTTTCCCAAAAATGCACAACCAGCTGATTCACACACTAGAATTAAGTTTTTAGAAGAAGAATTACACCAAAGCAAAGTCAAGAAAAATAATCAAAAATACATGACGAAAAGATATGAAAGACAAGTGGCTGTTTTTTTGTTCCTGTTTCTTCTTTCAGTTCAATAACCAATTTCCGCATTTGCGAGTCCATTCTACGGCTAAGAATAAAGCTCCAGTTGCTGGAAATGTCCTCAGAATTGTTGGACCAAGGCCACGATAAAGTGCAAAAAATCCTGCGAAAAACAGTTAAATGTGACACTACATTAGACGCATAGTTCTTAAAAGCCAAGCATCATGACTTATCATTGAAATATAATAGTGCTTTTCTAGATAAACTTAACAAGTAAATAAGTATCTAGTTGGATAAGAATATGTTTTTCCCACTAATTTGTTCTTTTCCGTAGGTCCCCGTAGGATTTTTCTAATAATTATGTGAATATAGAAAATGAAATCTTAGTATCTCTCTGGTCGTCAGGATGCTTACAGTTGACTGGATAGTAGCGACATTAATGGAACAATTAATAGAACACCACTTCAGTTTACTACAAAACGTTAACAAGAAAGGAAACTATCCAATCTCTCCTATGGGTGGTTAGAGCGAAATTACAGTAGCTGTTCTAGATATGCTTTCTCTATACTTTGAGTTTGAACTTTTTGTTACCAGTAGTTTATAAATGATCGCACTGAAGACGATTTCTTTCAACTTCAAAAAGGAAACTCATAAGCAATTAAAAAGAAGACAAACACAGAGACTTATCAGTAAAACGATTGTAAAAATGAATACAACGCAGAAATACCTCTTTAATCAACATCTTGACAACATCGTGTATGGGAGCTGGTGATGGTGTTAATGTTATTCGCAATGAGACAAAAGACGTCCTAAATAAGGCTTCAAAGCTTCCATTGATATCCACTTACTATCTCAGAGTGGGTTACTTCGACTAAGCAGAAAACTTAACACAAATGCAATCCACCAACGGGGTTAACCGAAATCTAGAATACAATTATCTCTAATTAGATGTTAATTGGTGGATGGTGACTAGCAGTGGAATCTAGGATGCGTATTTCATCCTACTTGGGACTCGTCAGCCAGATGTACCTACATTTTGCAGTGAGTGATGTTCCCACCGAGGCTCGAACCCAGTGCCCATGGTTTCAAACGCCAAAGCGTTATCCACTAGACCACTTGGGCCATGAGAGCCGCCTCTTGTGCAACGGACCATGTTAATTATTCAACTGAATTTTAGATTTTCCCGTCGATTAACTGGACTGAAGTTCTCGGTCTCAGGTTGATATAACGACTTCTTTTGCAGATGCTTCGACGATGTGTAGGCATGCAATTAGAAGTTAATTGGTGGATGGAGACTAGCAACTACGGAATGCGCGTGCATCTAGATGACGATTCCAAAATAGGACGAAGTGCGCATCCTAGATTCCACAACAAAAAGTCCCTGTATGTTTTGTAACACGGCTGCTTGGTATTTTTGTTAAAGTAAATAAGTAGAAACAAAGAAAATACTTGTTTTTTAAGCTCATATATTCGATCTTGGTTGGAAATTATCGAACAATTGCTGTCCTCATTCTAAAGTATAAACCCCTATTATTTCGAAATTCTGACTATCAAATAGGTATTCGACAATGTTTTTTAGAGACCATAGTGCCTTGCATTTTCAAAAATTCCACCATTTTAATTACAGGAAACGTGAGATATGTTTTGGCCACTATTTGCACAACTTCGATTTGCAAACCATCTATAAAACTACTGTATGATAAAGGTAAGACTTACAAACGTAATTCCCTGTTGACTTTGTTTAGGGTACGTATAAAAGTCGATTTTAGAAAAATAATTTAATATTTTCTTGCCAGTTCGGTAAGTTTTAGATGCACCGAAACAAATTAAAAAGGAAAATATGTATTGCTTTTAACACTCAGTTTTTATGAATCATCTTTCAAATCCAAAATCCTCCACTTATTTTGTTGTGGACAACGACGTTGTATAAGACACTAAGTGTGGATAATATTCTAGTACATGGAGAACCACACATCCTAACAACTGTACTTTTGCTCTATCCAAACACAAAAGACATCACCATGAAAGGCTTACACAATTTATACAAGTGAATACCAGTAAGTAAAAAAAATTCTAAAACAATATTTAGTCACCTTCGTTTTTCTTGATGTCTAATAGAACTGATAGCATGTTTTGATTCTTAGATTGATTTCCATTAATATTTGAAGTAGTAGTATGGTGTCCGATTTGCATGCGTGACTTTACAACGTCGAATGGAAATATCGCCATCCATAACGAGACGCCACCTATTCCACCTGAAATCACTGTTTTGACTGGGCCTAGGTCTTCTTTACGTCCGTTGACTGGAGTCAATAATGTTCGAGATGCTTCGTATCCACCGAAGAAAAAGAAATAACCTGGCATTTCTCGAGCAAATGTTGCACTTAAACCGCAGGTAAATCCTCTGAGTCCTTTTTCTCTATATATTGACTTTGTCACTGCCCACGGACCACTTAGTAAAGAAAAGCATGCGAAACATGTAAAAGCAAAATTGGGAATGAGTGACTTAAAACTGGAGACTGGTTTCTGAGCCAATATAATTTAATAACTTATTTTACTTTATTCCAAAAACAGTACTTATAATACAGAGTGGAATTCTCAGCATTATATACAATGGTGGTAGCTATAGTGGCGCACTGCTGTGTGAAAAGATTGTCAGAAACTTTATACGTCACTAACTTACGCCAAATTACATAACAAATACCAAAAATATTTCAGGAGAATACTTAGGAGTGTTGGTATGGTAGGAACTAAAAATAAGGGGTAGTAAATGCAGAGAAAATAACGAAAAACATGATAATACGACTACTTGATGCTATTCGGGCAGTTCGTGTCTGATTTATGTGAGATAAAATTGCGGTTAAAGTAGACATGGATAAGTAGATGAACAGCTATTCACTGAGCAATTAGAATACCTGCTCTTAAAAAGTGATTTTTTCAACAATGAGAAGCCAATGTACGAAATCATATCTAAAATAACAAGACAGTGGAAATCCCTAATAAAAACAACTACTCAGAACAATTTTCAGTGACTGACTGATATGTCTGTCTAAAAACGAGAAATTGGTTTATCAAATACAGAAACTGGGTAAATTTGCAATTTTCTGAACCTTATTGCCGAGGTCTGAATTGTTCAAATCAGTATATTACTGCATATTTTTTTAAATAATAAACCATGTTAGTCAATCAACACTACAGATTCAGCTATTATAAACACATAGGACCTTTTAGATGAATAAATTACCACAGACATTCTCATCAGCAGTAAATTTACAAACTGGCCTGATATAGTCACGATAAAGATTTCAAAGTACTTCCAATTAATTGTATACGGAAGATGAGAAAACACCGAAGCACTCAACTATAATTACTTAAAGGAACAAATATATGAAGCTTGTAGAGATCATGGGGATTCTTAAGATAGCATTTCGCACAAAACGCACACTTACATGTGTTTTGAATCGCTTTTCAAATGTCCAAGCTCAGTCATTTCTCTTAACGACTGTACTTGCACTTCACTAGTTCAGTTGGACACAGAGTTAAACTTGACCAGAAAGCAGCTAAGCTCCCTGCAAAAGCATGCTGAGTAACAGAAAGATGTTTATGATCCGTGCCGCAGACTTTCGCGATAATGTGTTGTGAGGGCGGGAGAGCACAAACAACACTGCATTCTCAGCAACATTAGCTACTAATGAAGGGACAGTTCCTGCATAATACCACGGACAATTCCATCTTTGGCAAGTGTAATTTTAAGGCATTTCCACGCCGATGGGTAAACTTCTGGGAATGTTTGCATCTTGACCTTTGGCCACCAAGGGTGTAATTTACACTCTGTGACCTGCCGGAATGAAGCTGCACTACTTTGCACTTCTTTAGATTGAAAGGCATTCCGTTAGCCAAAGCCCAATTTCCCAGAGTTTGCAGGTCAGCCTGCAATCTATCTGAGTCTTCCGATGAGTTTATTGCTCTCCAAATCTTTACGTCGTCAGCGTAAAGAAGCGCAGAGCAGTTTAGTTGGGGGGGCAGGTCATTGATAAAAATCAAAAACATCAACGGCCCTAGGATAGAACCCTGAGGAACCCCTGATGCCGAGGTGTGCCAGGATGATCGGATGCGGTTGACTTTGGTGCAGAATTCTCTCTCGCCTAAGTAATCTTTCAGCCATGCGAGAAGTGCTCCAGAAACTCCCGCCTTGCCTATTTTGTGAAGGAGCAGACCATGGTGAACTGTGTCGAATGCTTTCGCAAAGTCGAGAAAGATCACGTGGGCTGGTACCTTTTTGTCCCAGGATAGTGTCCAATCGTTCCAGGCTAGTAGAAGATTCGTCACGCAGGATCTTCCCCTCCTGAAACCGTGCTGTGCTTCGTGAAGAAGGTTAGTCCCATCGAAGTATTTTCTCATGTGGTCGTCAATGAGACTTTCCAATATCTTCGATACCACTGGAAGTAGAGCAACTGGTCTGTAACTGGTCACATTCTGCCGGTCACCACCCTTGAAGATAGGGGATAGGATTGCACGTTTCCATTCACATGGAAGTTTCCCTACATCAAGGGAGTGTTGGAACAGATCACTTAGGGGTTGGCAGAGACTTTCTGAACACTGCTTCAGGACAGATGGTCTGATGTCATCACAACCTGAGACTTTCCCGAAGCCAACCTTCCCAATTTTGCAAGTACCATAGCCGGGGTAATTTGAAATGTACCCAGCAGGTTTTCGCGTGTTGGTTTTGCGATGTAATCTGGATGTTCTGTAGGGGTAATATCCTCGTTACTATTTAGTTGCCTGTGAAAGGCTAGGCTGAATGTCTCTGCCATTTCAAGACTAGTAAGAGATTTCCCATCAGAACCCACTAGATTGCATGCTCCCTGGTTGGTCGGTTTTCTTTCGGCATAAACCTGTATAGGCTTTTGGGGTTCACGAGAAGCTTATTGGCGAGGTCTCCCTGAAATGTCCTTCTATCGCTCCGGACTCGTATGTTACATCGATTCCTGAGTTCAAGGTACACTTCATATTCGGGTTGACTCTTCGATCGTCGCCACGCGAACCAGGCTTTTCGCTTTGCCTGCAGAAGGCGTTGTGTCCCCTTTTCAGCCATGATCGTTGCTTCCTAGCTTTTGGTGTGACTAAAGGAACAGTGTCTGAGACCGCCTGGTGAATGATCTCCTTTACCACTCTCCAGTGTTCTTCTACTGTTAGCTCTGTCCATTTTTTAGGCCAATTTGCTTCAGACAGAAGTCTTCGCATTTTGGTGTAGTTGGCTTTGTTATAACACAGATAGGGCTGTGTATTGTCCCACTGTAAGCGCTCGCGGAGGACTATGTCGAATACTATGACCGCGTGGTCACTACTACCTATGGGAGTCGTGATCTGAACGTTTTCCACTAGTAGCTGGTCACTAGTGAGCACGTAATCCAGTCTAGAAGACTTCCCATCAGGGCCCCATCTAGTATCCATCTTGACATTTTCAGTGAATCCAGCCTTCCTGATGGTATGCAGCAGATTTCGATCAAATCTATCATGGGCTTTTCCCGACACCAAGTTAAGAGATGGGGCATTGAAGTCACCAGCTATGACAATTTGATCATAACCCATGTCTTGAGTTGCTGAGATTGTATTTAGCAGTACCTGGTTGTGGTCTGCTCCACATGAAGGTGATCGATAAATGCTGCCCACTAGATATTTGCAGTACCCAACGGTGAAGTGGCACCATATGGAGTCAGGGAGCTCTGTGAGGGGAGGGTCCATCGCGTGAACACATCTGAGCTGTTTGTCGACGTATATGGCGACTCCACCTCCTTCTTTCAGGTCCCTATCTCGCCTGACTAGGACCATATCATTTATACTGACTTCGCTGTCTGCCACCGTAGGGGTTAGCCAGGTTTCCGTCAGTATTATGATTTTGGAGTTTAGTTGTGATTGTAGGTGTCTAAGTTCAGCTATTTTGCCTCTTAGCCCTCTCACATTACTATACAGGCAACTGGTAGTCAGTCTCACCACTTCCCCGTATTGGGGGGTAGTTGACTTGATATTGGCTATCGGTTGAGGAGTTATCCTACGAACTAGTTGGCCGATTCCCCAGGAACCGGCCTGTTGGCGTTTTTTTCTTCTAGTTCAGTTGGAGCACTCGGATGACACTGGCTATCATCGTCCGTGCTGCACCGCTGTAGTGTGACTAGGGGTTGAGGATTTTCTTTTACTACGCTTTGTTCTCTCCTTTGAGTGCGAGGCCGGCTCTCGCAGCAGCGAATGTGTTTGCTGACCTTGTCCTTGGTCTCGTACCATCTATGGAGAGCGGTATTCAACTGGTCTTGGGAGCTGAACTTGACAGCTAACAGACGTGGCGAGTTAATTGACATAAGATGAGTGGGTCGAGGCAGTCTATAAATAGAGACAGCCCCTGAACTTCCCAGGGCCATCTGGGATGCTAACCATCTCCATTGTTGTACATCATGACAATGCTTTTCGCAGGCGTTCCCAGTTACCAGTTCGGGAATGCCATGCACAACCATGGAGGCAGAAGGAATGAGCTCTGGCGACTCCCTCGCCATTTGTCTTTCCTTCCACGGCCTGTCTGGCTTAACACGTATGTTACAGGCCCTCCCTATAGAAAGGACTTGAGAAGCCAGTAACACTTTTTCAACATCCTCGGTAGAGCTCAATGTTACCCTCAGTGGGGATGGTTTGCCTTCAGGTGCAGCAGTGCCCCTATACAATCTGCATAGATTTACTGGTTGGATGTCCAAACCCAGTGTGCTACTTAAGATGGACCACTGTTCCTGATCAAATAGGGCCCTATCTTTCAGCAGACTACTGCTACAGTCTGGTACATTAAAGACTACTACTAATACACAGTAGGCTCAGCAAATAAATCATTTGTGGATGAACTGGTATTATTAAAGGTCCTCTTGTAACTTCGGTTTGCTCTGCTGCAAACAAGTGACGCCTATCAGAAAAATGTTGACCGGCCGAATTGCCACCATGAGAATTGACATGAGACCGTCTGCATTCAAGCAGCCAACGAACCATAACGAAACATGGTTGTTTAATCGTGCAGTCAATATTTTTCGGGTTATAATTAAGTGCAAGACGCTGTCAAAAGTTTTAGGTGGAATTAGGAGGCAGTATACACTCACCATCTGTTCTCCTGGACAGTCTAGCACCTGCTCTGCAAGGGATTTGAATGTGAGTGTATAAGAGAGGCTTTTCAAAGAAATAAAATAATTAATTAACTTTCGTGAATTTTATCTTACTCGGTTTACGTATTAGGATAAATTTTCAGGTGTACTTTGACTTTTCATAATGCCCTTTGTTTACCCAGGTAAATAGATATGGAAAATCCATTAAGTTGAAGTCAGAAGGTAAACTGTCCCCACATTCATTCAGGTGGTTTCAGGTCCGGCCCAATAACCGGGGTAATTACCAGAGCCATTTCACAAGTAACCCTGCGGGCTCCCAAACCGGGAAACTTACTATATCACAAATCATCTGAATTATCTGCATTTCCGCAGCATCTCAACGATATAAAGTTGTAGCGGTAGATGATTCACTAAAATTATTAACCACAAAATTCATCACTCAACGCCGAAGGCTGACCATCACCGTAAAAGTCTACTTGTTTGGCTGGAGGCTCACGGTTCGTATCCGACCGCCTGGCAACGCCAATCATCTCGTACCGTTTGTACCAGGCAATGCGTAGTTTCCGATGGCCGATTCTGAATCCAGTAAACATGGGATACACTGGCTGACGTACAGAGTTTCTTGCAGTTTTCCACGCTCTAGTCCGGGAATTAAGTGAATGCGTAAAACTGCAAATGTTCAGCCCACTGGTAAGCAAACCCTACAAGATGATTAGAGCAGTCCTTTTAAGGAGAAACGATCTCTCGGGTCAGTAGCTCCGAATGGCTTTTTCGCAGTGTCGAGTTAGGTGATCAGTCGGTCGTGCACATGACGGCACGAATTTGGGGAGTTACTGGCTAACGTCAGTTCGATGAGGAGCTATGCTGCCAGCACAAGTTAGCGGTGACCGTCGCCACTGGCAGTAGCTAACTACCTTTGCTCCACTACGTGGTTAACCAAAGCCGGTACTTGGTGGGCACAGTGCTGAAATCAGTGTTCTTCCTGCTACAGAGATAGACCGACAGAAGGAACTTACCTTTGACTTACAGGATGCTAATGGAAAAGCCACTGCAACATTTGGTAGAAAATACGCCTATCTGAACGTAGGTTTACGCGTACCTATTCAGTGGATATGCCTCCTCGATGACTTCACAATGCCCATCGTAGGCACGGACCTACTTGACCGTCACGATTTACTCGTAGACGCCCGGTGGAAACTACTGGCAGACAGTACCACTAGACCGTCTATTAAAGGCACTACCTACGTAGGACACAGCTTGTCATGGGTTAAGTAGAGGGCGGTAGCTCACCCAACATTTTGGCCAATCAGTGACAAGTATCTGGGACTTAAGTGCCATCCGACGATCTGCAGTGCGTAACCAGCAGTGTTATGCGACACACCACAATCTCGGGATAACCCGTCAAATCAGAAACACAAACCTATACTGGTGAGGGATGAGTTCGACCACACGCCCACTATTAGTATTATTCGACCATCAAATACACTATGGGTATCCTCAATCTATCCAAAAAAGGTAGTTACTATTGGTGACCCGCTGGTGATTACCGGCCAGTGAACGCCGAAACAAACCCTGACTGCTATGCACTGCTTCATATACATGACTTGACGGCAACAATATCTGGCGCAATTACTTTTTCGAACATAGAGTTGGTTAAGGCAGACAACCA